TACAGTGAGGGAAAAAAGTATTTGATCCCCTGCTGATTTTGTACGTTTGCCCACTGACAAAGACATGATCAGTCTATAATTTTAATGGTAGGTTTATTTGAACAGTGAGAGACAGAATAACAACAAAAAAATCCTGAAAAATGCATGTCAAAAATGTTATTAATTGATTTGCATTTTAATGAGGGAAATAAGTATTTGACCCCTCTGCAAAACATGACTTAGTACTTGGTGGCAAAACCCTTGTTGGCAATCACAGAGGTCAGACGTTTCTTGTAGTTGGCCACCAGGTTTGCACACATCTCAGGAGGGATTTTGTTCCATTTCTCTTTGCAGATCTTCTCCAAGTGAGGCTGACGTTTGGCAACTCAAACCTTCAGCTCCCTCCACATATTTTCTATGGGATTAAGGTCTGGAGACTGGCTAGGCCACTCCAGGACCTTAATGTGCTTCTTCTTGAGCCACTCCTTTGTTGCCTTGGCCGTGTGTTTTGGGTCATTGTCATGCTGCAATACCCATCCACGACCCATGTTCAATGCCCTGGCTGAGGGAAGGAGGTTCTCACCCAAGATTTGATGGTACATGTCCCCATCCATCATCCCTTTGATGCGGTGAAGTTGTCCTGTCCCCTTAGCAGAAAAACACCCCCAAAGCATAATGTTTCCACCTCCATGTTTGACGGTGGGGATGGTGTTCTTGGGGTCATAGGCAGCATTCCTTTAAAATGCAAATCAATTAATAAACATTTTTGACATGCATTTTTCAGGATTTTGTTGTTGCTTATTCTGTCTCTCACTGTTCACCTTCGCTGTATGTGCACCAGCTGACCAGAATCCACCAGAATCCTTCGCAGTAGGTTCTGGAATGACACGTTTTCCTGCATGCTATGCAGAGGTGATGATCTTAGACCTCTCAAGGCGATGCCGATAATGAAGTCTAGAGTGTTGTAGGTGAACCTGGTGTGAAATGCTAGCATACGCGCTTAGGCATGGTGTCATTCGCGACCTTGTGTAGTATTTTCCCTGCTCTAGGGAGAGCTCTTTGGTTTGGCCATGTGAGGAGTTGGAATCTGATTGATTGATTGCTTCTGTGGTCGGGCTTTTATACAGGTAACAATGAGATTAGGAGCACTCCGTTTAAGAGTGTGCTCCAATCTAGTTTGTTACCTGGTATAAAGACACTGGGAGCCAGAAATTTTCGATTGAGAGGGGGTCAAATACTATTTCCCTCATTAAAATGCTAATCAATTGTATGACATTTTGACATGCGTTTTCGGATTTGTTGTTGTTATCGTCTTCACTGTTCAAATAAACCTACCATTAAAATTATAGACTGATCATTTCTTTGTCAGTGGGCAAATGTACAAAATCAGCAGGGGATCAAATACGTTTTTCCCTCACTGTATGTGCAGCAGCTGACCAGAATCCACCAGCAATCCTTCAGCAGCAGGTTCTGAATGACACGTTTTCCTGCGCTGTATGCAGAGGTGAGTGATCTCTGACCTTCTCAATGGCTGCCATAATGAAAGAAGTGTGTAGGTGTAACCGGTGTGAAATGGCTAGCTAGTTAGCGGTGCGCACTACTAGTGCTTCAATCGGTGACGTCACTCGCTCTGAGACCTTGAAGTAGTTGTTTCCCTTGCTCTGCAAGGGCCGCGGCTTTTGTGGAGCGACGGGTAACGGTGCTTCAAGGGTGACTGTTGTCGATGTGTGCAGAGGGTCCCTGGTTCAAGCCCAGGTAGGGGCAAGGAGAGGGACGGAAACAACACTGTTACATTGATGCTGTTGACCCGGATCACTGGTTTGCTGTGGAAAAGGGGGGTGAGTGTAACCGGTGTGAAATGGCTAGCTAGTTAGCGGTGCGCACTAGTAGTGTTACAATTGGTGACGTCACTCGCTCTGAGACCTTGAAGTAGTTGTTTCCCTTGCTTTGCAAGGGCCGCGGCTTTTGTGGAGCGACGGGTAGCGGTGCTTCGAGGGTGACTGTTGTCAATGTGTGCAGAGGGTCCCTGGTTCAAGCCCAGGTAGGGGCGAGGAGAGGGACGGAAGCAACACTGTTACATAGGCCACACTATAATATTTTCTAATTTACATTTAATTTAGCTGAGTGTCTTTGCACATCCAACAGGACATATGTTACACACATGTTTATCAGCATTAGAGGCAAGGACTATATAAAGTACAGTACTTTGCTCCCTGTGGAGCATAATGCAGCAACAAGCCCTTGCCATGCCTGATGGTCCTTGGCAACTTTTTCAGCTTCCCCCCCAAGACAGGCCCATGGTCTTCAAACCTTTGTGGTTGAATCAGAACTAGGGGTTAAAGTTTAAAGGACATCAAAACCATGTTGTCCTGACTAATTTGGTAGGGACAAATCATTCACTAAACCTCAACTAAATCGTGTCATAAATAAGGTGGAAATCGAGCAAGTTGAGGAGACTAAACTGCTTGGAGTAACCTTGGATTGTAAACTGCAATGGTCAAAACATATTGATGCAACAGTAGCTAAAATGAGGAGAGGTCTGTCCATAATAAAGCGCTGCTCTGCCTTCTTAACAACACTATCAACAAGGCAGGTCCTACAGGCCCTAGTTTTGTCACACTAGGACTACTGTCCAGTCGTGTGGTCAGGTGGTCAGAGGGACTTTGGAAAATTACAATTGGCCCAGAGCAGGGCAGCACAGCTGGCCCTTAAATGTTCACAGAGAGCTAACATTAAAGATATGCATGTCAATCTCTCCTGGCTCAAAGTAGAGGAGAGATTGACTTCATCACTACTTGTATTTGTGAGAAGTATTGATGTGTTGAATGCACCGAGCGGTCTGTTTAACTACTAGCACACAGCTCAGACACCCATGCATACCCCACAAGTCTCTTCACAGTCCCCAAGTCCAGAACAGACTATGGGAGGCACACAGTACTAAACTCAGCAAAAAAAAAGAAACGTTCTCTCACTGTGAACTGTGTTTATTTTCAGCAAACTTAACATGTGTAAATATTTGTATGAACATAAGATTAAACAACTGAGACATAAACTGAACAAGTTCCAAAGACATGTGACTAACATAAATTGAATAAAGTGTCCCTGAACAAAGGGGTGGTCAAAATCAAAAGTAACAGTCAGTATCCGGTGTGGCCACCAGCTGCATTAAGTACTACAGTACATCTCCTCCTCATGGACTGCACCAGATTTGCCAGTTATTGCTGTGAGATGTTACCCCACTCTTCCACCAAGGCACCTGCAAGTTCCCAGACATTTCTGGGGGGAATAGCCCTAGCCCTCACCCTCCGATCCAACAGGTCCCAAACGTGTTCAATGGGATTGAGATCCGGGCTCTTCGCTGGCCATGGCAGAACACTGACATTCCTGTCTTGCAGGAAATCACGCACAGAACGAGCAGTATGGCTGGTGGCATTGTCATGCTGGAGGGTCATGTCAGGATGAGCCTGCAGGAAGGATACCACATGAGGGAGGAGAATGTCTTCCCTGTAACGCACAGCGTTGAGATTGCCTGCAATGACAACAAGCTCAGTCCGACGATGCTGTGACACACCGCCCCAGACCATGACGGACCCTCCACCTCCAAATCGATCCCGCTCCAGAGTACAGGCCTCGGTGTAACGCTCATTTCTTCGACGATAAACGCGAATCCGACCATCACCCCTGGTGAGACAAAACCGCGACTCGTCAGTGAAGAGCACTTTTTGCCAGTCCTGTCTGGTCCAGCGACGGTGGGTTTGTGCCCATAGGTAACGTTGTTGCCGGTGATGTCTGGTGAGGACCTGCCTTACAACAGGCCTACAAACCCTCAGTCCAGCCTCTCTCAGCCTATTGTGAACAGTCTGAGCACTGATGGAGGGATTGTGCATTCCTGGTGTAACTTGGGCAGTTGTTGTTGCCATCCTGTACCTGTTCCGCAGGTGTGATGTTCGGATGTACCGATACTGTGCAGGTATTGTTACGTGGTCTGCCACTGCGAGTACGATCAGCTGTCCGTCCTGTCTTCGGCGTCTCACAGTACGGACATTGCAATTTATTGCCCTGGCCACATCTGCAGTCCTCATGCCATCTGTAAGCTGTTAGTGTCTTAACGACCGTTCCACAGGTGCATGTTCATTAATTGTTTATGGTTCATTGAACAAGCATGGGAAACAGTGTTTAAACCCTTTACAATGAAGATCTGTGTAGTTATTTTGATTTTTACAAATTATCTTTGAAAGACAGGGTCCTGAAAAAGTGACGTTTCTTTTTTTTGCTGAGTTTACATAGAGCCATGACTACATGGAAATCTATTCCACATCAAGTAACTCATGCAAGCAGTAAAATCTGATTTTTAAAAATACACCTTATGGAACAGCGGAGACACACAGAACATACGCACTATACACACACGATTTTATGTTGTAGATATGTGGTAGAGTAGTGGGCTGAGGGCACACACTTAATGTGTTGTGAAATCTGTTGTGTAATGTAATGTTCTTAATTGTATATAACTGCCTTAATTTTGCTGGACCCCAGGAAGAGTATCTGCTGCCTTTGCAGCAGCTAATGGGGAGCCATAATAAATACTAAAGGCCAGTTGATAGTAGGCTAAGCAAAGTATTTCACTCAGATACCAGATCATAGACATAGCATTACTTTCATTTCTAACTTTATTGATACAAATGTATGGGGTGATCACAGAGCCAAAGCAAAGTAGCAGTTACTGAAAGTGTCGCACTCAAAGATAACGTTATCAAAAAAAGCATGGAAAATATACAGGACATGACATTGTATTTTATTCACACCAACTGACAACTCTTGCGATTGCCATATCAACAAAGTTGATTGGAATTTGTTTTAGTGCAGCTAATACAAACAGTAGAACAGTATCACAAAACATCCATAAAAGCATTAATATTTGATGATCGAGGGCCTCTGTACATACTAGTGTCAAGTGCTAACCAGAATAGTATTGTCCTCACTAAAGTGACTGAGAGGAAGCTCCTAACTAGACTATTGACATGCAGCCACAGCGTGTCATCAAGGTGAGGTGTTGAAGGTGCCCCTCGGGGGTCGGTGGGAGGCGAAGTTTGAGGGTGTTGCTCGGTTTCTGAAGTAACAGGAACTGCAAAGAAGTCAGCCATCATGCCGCGGATCGCCGGGTGCTTCCGCAGGTACGAGGCATGCTCCACCTTCAACTCCTCCTGTAACACACAGGTCATGTGGGAAACTTAGGGGTTAGTGGTTTAAGAGTAAGGGGCTGGGTGAGAGTAGGAGGTAATGGTAGGGTGTAGGGAAAGACTACCTTTCTGTCCAGGAACTTGGAGTGCATCTGCATGTACTCCTCCCACACCAGACGCCTCTTCTCAAACACTGGCTTATCATCCCTCACCTCTGACACACAAACATGAAATAGGGGAACTTTCCTAATAGTGTGTCTGTGTACCTGTGTGTATTTGGGGCGGGAGCAGCAGGAGCCTCATGTTGATGGCTGGCCAGGTGTCTAAACAGGAACAAGATCACACAGGGAGAAAGAGATTGCAGGAGCAGTGGTGCCCTGTATGTCCCAGGTTCCCCTGGTGTAGGCCAGGTTACTGTAAAAGCACTTTGTGACAACTGCTGATGTAAAAAGAAAAAGGCCATATATACACTTTTGATTGATTGAATGTATAAGTAGAAGTGATGTCCACTTACCCGTCATGTAAGAAGTAGCAGTGCCAACACTGCCAAGTGGCTGGGATGTCCTCCACTGTCCTCTCCACACCAAACACCTCCATCGTCTGCACCCCAGCTCCCTCTGACCACAGTTTGACGCGTTGGCCCACCAGACTCTTCGCGCATTTGGGTGGAAGTGTCTGACAACTAAATTAAATCAAACAACTGAGAACACATCAACTTCATGGAACAGTGAACACACCTTGCACAATTTTTTTAAACAAAATGTACAAGTAGGGCAGTGACTAAAATAACTGACACACGTGGAGGTTGAGATGTGAGGGTCCTGGTGAAACAAGGTCATGTTGTTCGGGACGTTCTTCCTCAGAGGGAGCCACATTAGAAGCAGCAGGCTAGAGCCTTCACACACTAACCCCTTCAGAGAAGAACCCTTCAGAGGAGACAGAGGGAAGACAGTCTGCCTCCTCAGTTCCTACACACACAAACACACAATTTAGAGCCTTCAGATACATACCCTCTAACAGAGCACGTCGGGAAACACTGCCACCTTAACTCACAGACACACAAATAACCCTCATAAGATTCTCGGTGCAGACTTTAAACTTTTCTATGTGGAAATGACCATGTGTGTGTTTGTGTGTGCTCATCCATTCCTGTGTGAGCGTGTTACCTGTAGGAAGGTGGTCTAGCTGCTGCAGCAGCTCCATGTCTATGGATGTTCTTCTCTACTGAACATGTGTAGGATGTGAGGGATTGTAAGGGAGTCTAATTCTGCATCCAGCATCTCTATGGAGAATGAAGAGTTTAAAAGTATAACATTTTAATTGCACAACCAACCCTACACCTATATACCACTATTTCATCACAAATCTTAAAAACATCTTATAACTCTTCTGCAGTAAAATCTCGTACACCCAGGTACTTCTCTGCAGCTGCCACCTACACTCATTAACAACACACTACCCCATTCCACTACTTTGACCCTATTTGCTCCTGCACCATGCCAATGGCACACAGCTGATTCAAATTATCAAAGCTTGATGATTAGTTGATTATTTGAATCAGCTGTGTAGTGTTAGGGCAAAAACAAATCGTGTACTGAGTTTGGGAAACTCTGCCCTACGAGGTCCAGAGCCTTCTGGTTTTCTTTTCTACCAGACAATTAATTGCACCCACCTGGTGTCCCAGGTCTAAATCAGTCCCTGATTAGAGGGGAACAATGAAAAGGGTAGTAGAACTGGCTTCGAGGTCCAGCGTTGAGTTTGAGTGCTCTAGTATATACGAAGCCATACCATGCAAGGCAGGGAATGGCAGAAGTGTAGTGTCAACTGTCAACAGAGCCAGCTTCAAACTCACACAGTGGTGCAGGTGTAGTAGTGGCCATTCGCAGTATGCCCACCTATTTCTCTACAGATATACTCACGAACTACCATTGAGAATGATTGAACGATCCATCTTAATTCCTTAAATCTCTGCCATTATTAGGTGGAGGGAATGACCACCTCCAGCTAGCTACCTACACCATATAGAGTAGACAATTGTTGATCATTAATTCATCACCTGATGGCAGAGAGAGGGTCATGGTCAAAACGTGGTATGTCAAGCCGTGTTAGCTGGGGCTGGATAGTCTTGAACGATCCTTGTAATTTACCGTAGACAGACGCGCACACACACACCTGTTTGGTATGATATAGCTAGCTTTTAGATCAATGCTTCGTGTCTTTAATATAAGTTCCCTGTCTTGTCTGTCAGTAAGGCCACCAAGAATTGAAGGCAGTTAGCTAACTAACATTACTTGTTGGTGGCCTTAATTTATAACTAACCCGCGAAAGCTAGCTAGCCGGATATGGTTAGGTAACATTCGTCACACAGCTTTTACTTTGAAAACAGCTAGCGACGTATAATGTTGCAGCCCCTCCTCTCTACGCCCACACCGTCTCTGTTCAATCTTGTGGACTACATAAGAAAAATGAATTAATGCAGTCGAAATGATTATCCGTCTTAGTTGTATAAATTCGGATATTGATTGAACGAACAGTACACGGATGTCATTTGAACAAACAAATATAAAACGATCATATGAATATATCATGGGTAGCCATGGAAAAAGTCACTTTTTATCAATAAACCTTGCCAATTACACTATAAAGTGTAGACTATATGCTTTAGCGTGAGTAGAATATAATAGAATAACTGTACAATAGAATAACTTTTCCCAGAGGAAATTTATTTCCCCAGAGATTATTTCAAGCTGCAATAGAACATTTATGCAAAGTCAACCAGGGAGGAAGGTTACCCTCCTCTTCCTTCAGCGACAAGGCAGGCTGCATAAAGAATGTTGTAAAAAATAATGTGTAGAACAGTTCACTATCACGAACGAGGCGGAGTGAGTAATGCTGCATTCACATGCTAGAAATGTCCTACTGGCTAGATGGTTAACGTACACGTGCCGTCAACGTTAGCAAGTCGGACATTTCCGAGTTTCCTAGTTCCAACTAGTACTTGAACGCGGCATAAATCCCGAAGCGTTAATGCTCCCTCTCAACTAGAATACACTTTCTACTGGACTTTGCACCGACTCGGATAAGTTATTTATTCTCGGGATAACAATAAGATCGTGCAGAAACATGGTAAGCTATTAATCCAAAGTAAATCAAGAAAAGGGAATATTGTTTTGTGTGCCATTCCAGATGCATGGGCTACTTCCACTTTCTTTTTGCCTTTGTTGACAGAATAATTTTCTATGACATTATTTTTGAGATTAGGGTGGATTCATATATAGAGCCTAGTCTATATTTTGTGATAATATAGAACATATTATAAACACCATTTACAAGTGGTTAATTAAATGGGTGTTTTAAACGCTGCTTTGTTTGAGCATTCACCTTGGGTGCATCTCAATAGCCTAAAGTGGGTTCCTCTGCTCGCCGCTCTCCCTTCGCCTGTAGTCTAGTGATTTCAAAGAACATGACAGACAGGTAAGATTAAAATCCACATGCTGTGTCTGGATTTATTTTACAGTTTAGTTTTCAGACATTGCGCAGATGATGAGGAGGAGACGGAGAGAGGAAGACAGTTACTTTATTGAGACATACCCCAGCCTATCCTTGTCTCCCTGGAGGTCATGGACACATTTCATATCCTTGCCTACCTGGAGGTCTTTGACACATTTTACCACACCTGCAGGATAACAATTTATACATATAAGCCTACTCATATTTCAGAGGTGTATCATAAGATTTACTTACTGTAAATTAAACACAGACACAACATATTGTCAAATAGATCATAATTTTAATTTGAGTTTTCAGAACAACACAGTTCAATCAAATGTGGAATTGATTTGACAAATACATTATATTTGAAAGGGTATCATTTTTATCTTCCTATTTTGTTGAATAAAAACAGCCATAAATATCACCCCATGCATTATTTTGCTGTTGCCAACAATGAAAAAAAGTATTTAAAAAAATACATTCCTTGACAGCTGCTTGGTTTACAGTTCTTCCTTTTTTAGAGTGCTAAATTTCAGCCTTGACCTCAGGGTGAAGTTGCCCCTATAAATGCTGATCTGGGGCCAGTTTAATGGTTAAGGTTAGGATTGGGGGAGGGGGAGGGGAAGCTGATCCTAGATCTGTACCTAGGGGAAACTTCACCCCGTAGCGAAACACATTCTACCTCTTCCTCTGGCTAAAAAAGATCATCTCTTAAATCTCAAGGGAGTTTTGTTTCATTGTTTATATTATATTGTGTGTGACATCTTCAACATTTCTGAGGATGATATCAATATCTTGATTCAATTATGAGATCTTCCTGAATAGTGGTGACAGTTACAAGCAGGAGGCTCATTATATTTACAATAAACATGGTGTGATGGTGCAATATATGCTGTATCCAGTTCATATGTTTTTCAACCCAGTTCATATGCGTTTTCAACACAAAATACACAGTTTTGTTATGATGTTGAAAACTTTGCCAGCTCTTTGGCAAAACTGTATGAAAAGTGCTTTATCAATAAATATACACTACCGTTCAAAAGTTTGGGGTCACTTAGAAATGTCCTTGTTTTAGAAAGAAAAGTAATCTTTTATGTCCATTAAAATAACATCAAATTGATCAGAAATACAGTGTAGACATTGTTAATGTTGTAAATGGCTATTGTAGCTGGAAACGGCAGATTTTTTATGGAAATCTACATAGGTGTACAGAGGCCCATTATCAGCAACAATCAGTCCTGTGTTCCAATGGCACGTTGTGTTTGCTAATCCAAGTTTATCATTTTAAAAAGGCTAATTGATCATTAGAAAACCCTTTTGCAATTATGTTAGCACAGCTGAAAACTGTTGTGCTGATTAAAGAAGCAATAAAACTGGCCTTCTTGAGAGTAGTTGAGTATCTGGAGCATCAGCAATTGTGGGTTCGATTACAGGCTCAAAATGGCCAGAAACTCATCAGTCTATTCTTGTTCTGAGAAATGAAGGCTATTCCATGCGAGAAATTGCCAAGAAACTGAAGATCTCGTATAACGCTGTGTACTACTCCCTTCACAGAACAGCGCAAACTGGCTCTAACCAGAATAGAAAGAGGAGTTTTATTTATTTCTATTTCACCTTTATTAACCAGGTAAGCCAGTAGAGAACAAGTTCTCATTTACAACTGCGACCTGGCCAAGATAAAGCAAAGCAGTGCGATAAAAACAACAGCACAGTTACACATGGGATAAAACAAAACATACAGTTAATAACACAATATAAAATCTATATACAGTGTGTGCAAATGTAGTAAGTTATGGAGGTAAGGCAATAAATAGGCCATAGTGCAAAATAATTACAATTTAGTATTAACAGAGTGGGAGGCCCCGGTGCACAACTGAGCAAGAGGACAAATACATTAGAGTGTCTAGTTTGAGAAACAGATGCCTCACAGGTCCTCAACTGGCAGCGAAGAGGTGACTCCAGGATGCTGACCTTCTAGGCAAAGTTGCAAAGAAAAAGCCATATCTCAGACTGGCCAATAAAAATAAAAGATGGGCAGTCTGAGATATGGCTTTTTCTTTGCAACTCCACCTAGAAGGTCAGCATCCCGGAGTCGCCTCTTCACTGTTGACGTTGAGACTGGTGTTTTGCGGGTACTATTTAATGAAGCTGCCAGTTGAGGACCTGTGAGGCGCCTGCTTCTCAAAGTAGACACTAATGTATTTGTCCTCTTGCTCAGTTATGCAGCGGGGCCTCCCACTCCTTTTTCTATTCTGGTTAGAGCCAGTTTGCGCTGTTCTGTGAAGGGAGTAGTACACGGCATTGTACGAGATCTTCAGTTTCTTGCCAATTTCTTGCATAGAATAGCCTTCATTTCTCAGAACAAGAATAGACTGACGCGTTTCAGAAGAAAGTTATTTGTTTCTGGTCATTTTGAGCCTGTAATCGAACCCACACTTGCTGATGCTCCAGATACTCAACTAGTCTCAAGAAGGCCAGTTTTATTGCTTCTTTAAATCAGCACACCAGTTTTCAGCTTTGCTAACATAATTGCAAAAGGGTTTTCTAATGATCAATTAGCCTTTTAAAATGATAAACTTGGATTAGCAAACACAACGTGCCATTGGAACACAGGACTGATGGTTGCTGATAATGGGCCTCTGTACGCCTATGTAGATATTCATTTTTTTTTTTTTATCAGCCGTTTCCAGCTACAATAGCCATTTACAACATTAACAATGTCTACACTATTTCTGATCAATTTGATGTTATTTTAATGGACCAAAAAATAGCTTTTCTTTCAAAAACAAGGACATTTCTAAGTGACCCCAAACCTTTGAAAGGTAGTGTATATTTATTTAATTCACGCTCCATCTCTCTCAGCCTGAGAAGAACAGTCGGCTGCGTCAGGTTCAGGAGGAGGCGGAGGAGGTGAAGGTCATCATGATGGACAACATGGAGAAGACCGAGGCACGCAAGGAGAAACTGCAGGACCTTGACGAAAGGGCTGAGGAACTGAAGTTAAAGGTGAGAGTGGGTTAGCATTTTTTATTTTATTCTTTTAAATACATACACTTGCACTGATACAATTTTTATTCTGATCACTGATCTGATCCAATTCAAACATTTATTTTTACAGTGAATATCACTTTTTAATATAAAAGCTGTTCAGACCTCACTCTGGCCAAGCCTGCCACTAACCTGAGGTCCTTTTTGGTGTTTTGTCAGAACGGTGAATTTTGACTTTAGTGCTTGATTGGTTTGTTTGTTTAGAGCAAGTCCTTCCACAAGACATCAATTAAGCTAAAGGAGCAGAAGAAATGTGACAACATCAAGGCCAATTGGAAGCTCATTGCTGTTGTTGCAGCCTCTGCCATAATTATCATCCTAGTTGCAATCTTTATGTTGGTCAACAGATCTAGCCCTGAAAACACACATGATATAGGCATTACCCCAACGCACGAAGGAGGCATTACCCCAACGCACGAAGGAGGCATTACCCCAACGCACGAAGGAGGCATTACCCCAACGCACGAAGGAGGCATTACCCCAACGCACGAAGGAGGCATTACCCCAACGCACGAAGGAGGCATTACCCCAACAACCATTGGGCCTGGGAAGTCGGCTATAGCCTAGGACCAATAGGTCTGAAGAGGAAACAAATAGTGGACACTACTTGAAGGATGCTACTATCGGTCAAAAGTCTATTTTCTAGCTTCTGTCGTTGATACTTTACTTGTCCTCGTACACCCATTGGAGACTTCCACAGATACATCAGGGAAGATAAATAATTTATTAGGTGCAAAACTTGTCAAACAATCCCATTATTCAGAATCTTGTTGGGATTACCAATTATCTGTAAACTATTACATCTGATAATATTGAAATCAGAAAGGGTAAGACATTAGGGGTGATGACGAGATAGATTTGATCTATTCCCTTTCAACAGCATTTATAATTTATTACTGAACATCTTGGGATACATAATTAAGGTTAACCTGAACAGAAAAGTTGTATTTTGTCGTTTATTTGAAAATACCCTATTTTCAAATACTCTAGGCAACTATTTTCTTTGATATTCAAATAAAAAGGTCAAATAAATGACCAACAAATACACAGTATGTTCATAATGAGTGAGACAAGGGAATACATTAACATTTGACATCAAGTTCTTATACATGTGTAGTAATTTTGTGACAATAGCGACATTGTTGTTACATAGGACTTTGGAAATTGCTTTATAATTGCACAATAAGAGTTATTACATAAGTGGAATAAGGACAGTCTATTCCTTGTGTACAGTAGTTACAAAAATACAGCTCATTGCTATGCAATTAAAATGCAATTACCAAAGTATTATGTAACATGCTAATATAATGTTGCTCCAAAAGTAATTACAGTTTTATTACACAGGCACAAGAACAGTTGAATGTTAAGTGGAATGCTAACAGTAACAAAATATGGCTATTAAGTGTCAAAAGTATACTAAATATCCCAAAACTGAAATAACTATAGCCAAGGTAGGTTGGAAAACCATGTTAGTTTGTATTCTGAGTAAACTATCTCTTTAAATATGTTATAGTGTGTTTGAAACAAGAACACTTACCCGCAGATGGACAAAGAGGTTCAAAGTTGTTTTTGCTAAGCATCCAACTTGCTGTTTGCAAATGGCTTTGAATTTGTCAGGTATCATAAAATTAATTGCAGCTTTTGACCTTTTCAGTGGCATGTTGAAAGAGTCATTAAGTAGTTGAGCGCCAACCTATTTATACTTATCTGTACAAAATATCATTGTTTGACTTGATTATGTACAGTGGGGAAAAAAGTATTTAGTCAGCCACCAATTGTGCAAGTTCTCCCACTTAAAAAGATGAGAGGCCTGTAATTTTCATCATAGGTACACGTCCACTATGACAGACAAATAGATAATTTTTTTCTCCAGAAAATCACATTGTAGGATTTTTAATTGCAAATTGAATTTATTTGCAAATTATGGTGGAAAATAAGTATTGTGTCACCTACAAACAAGCAAGATTTCTGGCTCTCACAGACCTGTAACTTCTTCTTTAAGAGGCTCCTCTGTCCTCCACTCGTTACCTGTATTAATGGCACCTGTTTGAACTTGTTATCAGTATAAAAGACACCTGTCCACAACCTCAAACAGTCACACTCCAAACTCCACTATGGCCATGACCAAAGAGCTGTCAAAGGACACCAGAAACAAAATTGTAGACCTGCACCAGGCTGGGAAGACTGAATCTGCAATAGGTAAGCAGCTTGGTTTGAAGAAATCAACTGTGGGAGCAATTATTAGGAAATGGAAGACATACAAGACCACTGATAATCTCGATCTGGGGCTCCACGCAAGATCTCACCCCGTGGGGTCAAAATGATCACAAGAACGGTGAGCAAAAATCCCAGAACCACACAGGGGGACCTAGTGAATGACCTGCAGAGAGCTGGGACCAAAGTAACAAAGCCTACCATCAGTAACACACTACGCCGCCAGGGACTCAAATCCTGCAGTGCCAGACGTGTCCCCCTGCTTAAGCCAGTACATGTCCAGGCCCGTCTGAAGTTTGCTAGAGTGCATTTGGATGATCCAGAAGAGGATTGGGAGAATGTCATATGGTCAGATGAAACCAAAATAGAACTTTTTGGTAAAAACTCAACTCGTCGTGTTTGGAGGACAAGGAATGCTGAGTTGCATCCAAAGAACACCATACCTACTGTGAAGCATGGGGGAGGAAACATCATGCTTTGGGGCTGTTTTTCTGCAATGGGACCAGGACGACTGATCCGTGTAAAGGAATGAATGAATAGGGCCATGTATCGTGAGATTTTGAGTGAAAACCTCCTTCCATCAGCAAGGGCATTGAAGATGAAACGTGGCTGGGTCTTTCAGCATGACAATGATCCCAAACACACCGCCCGGGCAACGAAGGAGTGGCTTCGTAAAACAAGCATTTCAAGGTCCTGGAGTGGCCTAGCCAGTCTCCAGATCTCAACCCCATAGAAAATCTTTGGAGGGAGTTGAAAGTCCGTGTTGCCCAGCGACAGCCCCAAAACATCACTGCTCTAGTGGAGATCTGCATGGAGGAATGGGCCAAAATACCAGCAACAGTGTGTGAAAACTATTTTCCACCATAACTTGCAAATAAATTCATAAAAAATCCTACAATGTGATTTTCTGGATTTTTTTTTTCTCATTTTGTCTGTCATAGTTGACGTGTACCTATGTTGAAAATTACAGGCCTCTCTCATCTTTTTAAGTGGGAGAACTTGCACAATTGGTGGCTGACTAAATACTTTTTTCCCCCACTGTACATCTATGGCAATGGACATTCAGGAGAATGGACATTTACAGAATATTCAGATATAAATGTATTGTGTAAATCAAATATGACTGTCAAATAGATTGGAATAGTACAGGAGAGTGTATGCTCTATTAATTATATTTCTATCTTCAACATGCAGTTCCAGATAAAGTTAGTTGAAGGCAGACAATCCAATAGTTTCTTAAAAAGTAGTCACTTCCTGAGATCTGTATTGAAATAGTTTTTAAAAAGTAGTCATTTTTTGGGGATCTGTATTCAAATAGTTGTAGTCACCTCCAAAGTAACAATTTGTTCCCCCTTAAAAAATGGTTACCTTCCACAAAGCATATTTTAAACTATAGTTATCCCAGGTCTGAACCTGAATAACCTCACATTTTCAATGAGACCATTCATTTTCCAAAGAGTTATGTCCAGACAAAAATGTGTTTTTATTTTTTACTTAAGGTACACACACCACCATTTACTCTGTCATTATTGAAGGCCTAGTTGATAGACATCACATGTTGACAAAACAAGGCATTGCATTACCAAGATCAGGAATGAACTGTGGCGATTTAATTCCCTCTAAAATTGGTCTGAGAGATGTTGTATTTTAACATGCAACACAATTCTTATAAAGGAGAGTAACGTCCCTCAATGCTGAACAATTGATTGATAGTCACATTAGATAATAGGCAATAGCAAAAATAGGCCTATTTACTTGATTGCTAAATAACTTACATTTGTAGTGTAAACGCTAGATGGGGTTATGTTGTTTACAATGACACCAGTTCAACCCTTTTATAAACAGTCAACAGGAACTCCCCAATAGACAGCTGTGTCTTGTTCATTGACCAGTTGAATGGACATTGAGTCAAATATATGTTTTGTTGTTATCCTCTTGCAGTTGCATTATTGATTTATTTTATCCAGTAAATTAAAGTTGATTAAAAAAATTACATTAACCCTGATTTCTCATTATTTCAACATGATTGGCTGGCAATTACCAATAGGCTATTTTGTCTTTCTTTAAGTGATTATTTGAATGTATCAACCTTGCTGGATTCCAATTGGGAAATATTCTCATTTCCCTCATCACAACTCTGCCAGATGGTTTAGAATGTTTAAATTCCCTTAATACACGCTTTGACTCTTTCAACCTATCCAATCATTTAGAAAAAGTCATTTACATTTTTACATTTTAGTCATTTAGCAGACGGTCTTATCCAGAGCGACTTACAGTTAGTGATTGCATACATTTTCATACTGGCCCCCCGTGAGAAACGAACCCACAACCCTGGCGTTGCAAGCGCCATGCTCTACCAACTGAGCTACACGGGGCCCCCAGGTCATCCAGGAGAAGCTAAATTCAAAGGGGAAGGTAGGTATAATTGTTTTTAACGTGAAGGGATTTTGCGCTTGATCCAAAAACCTGCATCTCCAGGAGGGACATCGAAAGAGAACTGTATGTTCCACCCAATGATATGTATTAACCATAAATGACTGATAGGGTGCTCGTTTGAAGCCCCTGCGCATCAAGGGGCGTAATTTCAGCAAAACAATTAAGCTCATTTATTTACTGCATTTCTACACAATTTTAAAACACAATTTAAAGAAGAGCAAAAACAAGCGAAAATTGACTTCAGACATTTTCACCTTGTTTCTGCAATTTCATTCACCTCAGTCATTAGGGGACTTGCCTAAACATCCGACTGTTACCCTATGGATATTCAGTCTGAAAGAAGTATGCCTAAAATAGAAGCAAGAGTCTCTACAAGCCAGAATGTTGAATAAAATGATATTTACAAGTACTTTACCGGTTGTCCGTGCTGTTTGTCCTTTTGACAGTAGGAGGTGGAGATAGGGTTAACGGGGGGCCAGGAAAGTGTTGTTTCCCCGTCTTTTTGCGGCGCCAGTAAATTCTGTTTCTTGTTTTTTCATTGGCATTGCAGGTGATGCACAATATAAACAATAGCCGAATGTAACCGAATGTAATCATCTGGAAGTGTTAGTGAAATTTGCCTGCTGATTGCATGGGACAACTTTCAGTCTCTGGTTCGGTAGGCTAAGCCATTGGAAAACAATGGGCGAAGCTCAGGGTTCCAAAGGCAAAACATATTTTGTGGCTAGCATTTGATGACAACCGAGCACGCTGCCAGACTTACATAATTACAAAGAGGAGATTCTCATGATTAAAATGGTGCCCGACTTGAAAAAAATATATATATACACATTGCGAGTTATTTTTCGAAATAGACAGACACACCTAGCTATATTTCTCCTATAGAAATCAATGGGAAGACCTCAGACTTTGTCATT